AGATTTTGGAGGTTGTATGACCACTTAATATTTTTGATCCCCATTTTTTTTTCTTTTCCCATTCTCTCGAGGCTTTATTTTTAGGACCCTTTCTCTGAGCTGTATGCATTCATATTTAATGATTGCCATTTTTATTCCTTTTGTAGTATTAAATATTAAATATCAGGCAGAATACTCCTTTAATTTCCCTTTGGAGTAATAAAATGTTACCAGCAACTATTTCTTGAGGTCTGTAGCAATACCCTTTGTCAAAAGAGAAGCATATAATAAAGCCAGCAAAACACTTACAAAGAGCTCTTAAGAGTATTATATATTGCATAAATGAAAACTACCAAATAAAGTAATTATCCATGAGGTGAATAAGTGCTGATTTGGTTTCAGGAAGCTGTCACACAAAAAAAGCATTCTAATAAATTCTAATTGCCAAGGTAACCACTAAATTATAACAAAAATTTAATGACTAATTTTAATGACTTTATTCATAATGAGATTATTTTAGCATGAATAACTCCTTTTTTCAGCTTTAATGAGATATAATTGACAAGTAAAAATTGTACACAGTCAAGGTGTACATTGATTTGATATACATCGTAAAGTAATTACCACCATAAAATTAATTAACACCATTAACATCATCAAAAATCCTTGCTGAGGGGGGTAGGACTGTCTGTGGGTGGTGAGAGCTCTTAATATCTACTCTCAGAAAATTACAAGCAAATATTACAGTCTTCTTAACTATAGTTAATATGTTGTATTAACATAACTATATCATATTATATCCCAAAACTTATTTTCTTATAACTCAAAATTTAGCCAGTATTTCTCCATTTTCTCCACTGTTTTCAAGAATGTGCCACTGACAGACCACAATAGGGTGCAAAGATTTCCTTTTTCTCCACATCCTCATCAACATCTCTTTCCTCTCTATTTTTTAACCATAGAGCTTTGTTTATTTAATTGAAAAATCATTAATTTAAGCCACCTCATAAATGGATAACCAAAAAGTGTTTAATTTTTATTCCATTTCATTCATATCTGGGGGAATTTATATATATATATATATATATTTTATTTCACCCTGTCATTTTTCTTCATGTTTTAGTGCATTTTAGTTATACATAATAGTGTTGTTCTGGATATGTGGCTCAGTTGTAGAGTGACTGCCTGGCATGCATGAGACTCTGGGTTCAGACCCCAGAACTGCAAAAAAAACAAAAACAAAAAAAACCCACCCTCATCTTCTTGGTAACACTCATCCTAAGAGGTGTGAGATAATACCCCATTGTGATTTTCATTTGCATTTCCCTCATTATTAGTGAGGTTTTTTAGTGTACCTGTTGACCATTTTATGTCTTCTTTTCAGAAATGTCTATTTAGGTTCTTTTTTTTTATTGGTTGTTCAAAACATTACAAAGCTCTTGACATATCATATTTCATACATTAGATTCAAGTGGGTAATGAACTCCCATATTTACCCCAAATACAGATTGCAGAATCACATCGGTTACACATCCACATTTTTACATAATGCCCTATTAGTAACTGTTGTATTCTGCTACCTTTCCTATCCTCTACTGTCCCCCCTCCTCTCCCCTCCCATCTTCTCTCTCTACCCCATCTACTGTAATTCATTTCTCTCCTTGTTTTTTTTCCCATTCCCCTCACAACCTTTTATATGTAATTTTGTATAACAATGAGGGTCTCCTTCCATTTCCATGCAATTTCCCTTTTCTCTCCCTTTCCCTCCCACCTCATGTCTCTGTTTAATGTTAATCTTTTCCTCCTGCTCTTCCTCCCTGCTCTGTTCTTATTTAGGTTCTTTACCCATTTTCTAATTGGGTTAGTTAACTTTTGTCATTGAGTTACTTACATATTTTGGGTATTCAGTTTGCAAATATTATCTCCCATTTCACAGATTGCTTTATCGTTTGTTTAATGTTTTCTTTGATGTGCAATTTTTTTTTTCATTTTATGTAATCTTATTGATTTGTTTTTGCTTTTATGGCTTGAGCTTTTGGAGTCATAGCCAAAAAAAATCATTGTCAAAACCAAGCAAGGAGCTTTTTCTCTGGTTTTTTTTTTTTTTTTTTTTTTTTTAGTAGTCTTATGGTTTCAGCCTTACATTTGACTTTTTAATACTTTTTTTTTAATGGGGTGAGCATAGTATTCAATTTTTCTTTTGCATGTTGTTTTCTGTTTTTTTCCAGTGCCACTTGGTGAGGGACTATCCTTTCCCCACTGTGCCTTCTTGTAAACTTGTCAAAGATTAATTGACTAAATATATGTGAGTTTATTTCTGTGCACTCTAGTTTTTTGAATTGGCCTTCTTACCCATTTCTATGCCTTTTTTATTGCTATAGCTTTGTGATATAATTGGAAATCAATGTCTTCAGTCTTATTTTTCAATATTCTTTTGACTATTCAGGATCTTCTTTTATGACTTATGTGAATTTTAGGAATGTTTTTCTATTTCTGTGAAAAATGTCATTGTAATATTTATAGGGATTGAAATGAATATATAGATCAATTTGAGTTGTAATATTTTAATAATATTAATTCTTCAGTCTACTAACACAGATATCCATTCATTTATTTCTATCACCTTTAATTTTTCCATCAATGTCTTTCAGTTTTAGATCTTTTACTTCTGCAGTTAACCCTGTTCTTAAGTATATTTGCTCTTTTTGATTCATTAGTAATTGTAATTAGTTTTTTGATTTAATTATCAGATAGTTTGTTCTTAGTTTTTAGAAACACAAATGATTTTTATGTTGATTTTAAATCCTCCACTTTCATTCAGTTTTATTAGTTCTAGCAGTATTTGTGTGTGTGTGTGTGCGCGCTTGTAGTTTTCAGGATTTCTATTTATGACATTGTGTCATCTGCAAACAGATAATGTCTTCCTTTCTGACTTGTATGGCTCTTATTCCTTTTTCCTACTTAATTCCTTTGGCCAGGACTTAAAGTACTATGTTGAATAGAAGTGATGACCAGGTAGTGCTGGGTACTAGGAAGGTGAGGAGGGGTCCTGTGAAGGAGGCCAGGAGGCAAAGAAGAGGAAACTTCATGGAATTGGGACCCTCCCTACTTACCAGCCAATATAACCAGTGCATTCTGAAAGAGTATATATATCCATGGCATCTTTGGAATAAATATGTTTGAAAAGCCAAGGGTGACAATAAAATACCATTATTATGAAAAGGAGCTTTGGAGAATATTCCATATTTATCTATTCTTCGTGGTGGTTGTTCTTATAGTCCTTGTTGACAAAATAGAAGGAAGAGAAGGAAGAAAGGAAGAAGAATAGGAGGGGTAGAGAGACAAGGAGGAGGAGGAGGAGGATCGTTAATTTCATTCAGATCACTTAAAGTTTCTCAAATTCAAAAACCAAAAACAAATTGCCTTAACCTTGCCAAAAAAACTTATTAAAATCCCACTATTCATATATATGAATTTATGATATTTGTAATTTCTGTTAAATTATAATAATTTTTAAGGTTTTCTCCTAAGCTTATTTAATCTGTTTGAATTTCTGTGATCAAAATTATTCTAAACAGTAGGAGGAGACAATCTTGGTTTTTCTACTTTGGAAATCATGAGTCAAAGTCTTTTAAAATGTATCTTTTCCATTCACAGAGAGGAAAAACATCTAGGAAGGTTTCATTGTGTCTATTATATCAAAATATAACTTACTTCAAATAGGGAGCTGTGAAAAGGAAACCCATAACTTTTAGTTTAGAAATGTATATCCTTTATAATTAAAATAGAGACTTAAGGGAAGATTTGTATTCTTTGTGGGGTGTCATTTATTATAAGACGTTAGAGGTCAAATGTAGTCATTAATTGCCTCTTGTAAGGTTTTATTTCACAACCATATTTTTTCTCCTTTTTCAAATATTTATTTTTTTTAGTTGTAGTTGGACACAATACCTTTATTTCACTTTTTTATTTTTGTGTGGTGCTGAGGATCGAACCCAGGGTCTCGCACGTGTGAGGCAAGCACTCTACCGCTGAGCCAAAACCCCAGCCCTTTTCTTCTTTTTCTTTATTGGCTTTTTTTCTTTCTTTTACTTAATGCTTTCTGGTTGAATTTATTTCAAAATAATTAATTTTTTTTCCTTTTTAAATTTCAGTACAAAATGCAGATACCAATATATCCCTGGAAGCAGAAACTTCCCTGACTTCTGGACAATTATCTTGCAAATTACATTTCTACCGCCCACATGTCAGATCTATTTTGAATGTTAATAATATTAAAGACTAATGTGTCTAATTTTTTGATTTTATAAAAGTTTTAATTTCAACAAATAGCCATTAAAACCCATCTGTGAATGATAATGCACATTGATGTGTAAGAGAAAATCTCAGTCTCCTACATCTTATAACAAGGAGCAGATAATACAGCGAGGGAGGTCATTAGGCCACAGCCTTCTATTTTATGTACCTTATCAGGAGAAGAAGCTATAGCACTATCCTTTGGAAGTGGTTCCTCTAATGAGCTCATCATGACTGATGATGGTCATGAAGCTGGTCAAACTGTTCCTCTTTCCTATGAGAGGATAATGGAATCCAAGGCCTTCGTTAGCCTTTCACTAACTGCTGTGAGCTTTTCACAAACACACCCACTGCCTTAGTTCAACAATGTACGTGGACTGAGAGCTAACACACCAATGTTCTCTTTGGGATACTTACAGCATTAGCCAAAGTCATTTGTAATATTTTTGTTGTCAATTATTTGTTTCCTGATCATTTTCTTAATATTCTTGACAGAAAATCTTGGAAGAGATGTTATAACTTTTTCTAATTGCTTTTGAAAGAAAGCACTTATTTCTTTTTTTATCTTTTGGTGAATACCAATATATCCCTGGAAGCAGAAACTTATTTCTTTTTTTATCTTTTCAGGGTAGGTATTTGCTAGACATTTAGTACAGTATGGATAGCATGCAGTCTTTAGCACTATATTATTATGTCTACTGTAATGAGTGTCCTCTGCCTTGCAGGACAGTTCTTTTTACTCTGACTTCTGTGGTCGTACTTGTCATTACAACTGACTGGATCAGCTGGGACAAGCTGAACCGGGGATTTTTGCCCAGTGATGAGGTTTCCAGAGCATTCCTTGCTTCTTTCATCTTGGTCTTTGACCTTCTTATTGTGATGCAGGTAAGTGTCTTTGTGTTTCCCTCCTCTCTCCGAAATTGTTCTATGCTTTGTTCTCCGTATAACAAACACTGTAAGCTGCAGGCTCCATAAAACCAGAGAAGTGCATAGTTTACAGTGCCTATTAATGGGGCTTTCACTGATCATACTTTCAGCAGTTTACTGGGAGGAAAAGCCAAATGGGATTTTATGAGAGGGGCACCCAAAGTTCATTTTATTAACATTGCAAGGTGGGCCTCTAGAAGCCATGTAGCATGGTGACATTTTCTGCCAAGGCTTGAGGTGGGGGACATGGGGAGGGACAAAAATAAAAAAAAAAAAAATACTGTCATTTAGCAAACAGAAAAAAAAGCTACAGAGATGAGGATGATATAAAGCCAGCAAAGCAGGGAAAAGCAATTGTCAAAGCAACTCAGGGTTTTTATAGCAGTTGAAATGGAGTGATGTAAAGATGCTTTTTCTACTATGGAAATTATTACTTTCTTTCAGTGTTCACCAGAGATGATTCCATTTTCATGTAAACAATATTTCTGTCCTGCTTAGCAACAGAATTTTTTTGTACAATAATATCACACTAACCAGCGTGATTTGTGTAATCTTCTGGTGTGAATGTTTGGGGCTTCAGAAATCATGTTTTGAATGGGGCTGAAAGAGATATTAGCTATTTCTTCGTGCCTTATTTTGTTCATTAAATGTCCATCCATTTGCTAGACATTTTCGTATTGCTTTCATAAGGCAATTTTGGTTTTTCCCCTCCTGAGGCATTATAAGTCATCAGAACAAAGGGTCCCATTGCCAAAGGGAAAGGAGACTCTATTGTATTCTGAATTTATGTGAGATTTTGTAGGATAGCAGATTGTTTTTCTTATTTCTAGAGGCAAAGAGGGGCCCTTTTAAGAGCTATTCTGTGTTGTCTCAAAAAAGAACAATAGTTTGGGGTTTTTTTTTGTTTGTTTCTTCATATTGGCATATAATATATCCTAGGCAACAGGTTCACAGTGATTCTTAGAGTATATTATTTTTTGAACGGATGATATTTAAAATACATTGTCGCCTAAAAATTGTTTGAAAACATAAAATTGAATATTCTTGTCTCATCTAGAAATTAACACATTTTTCTTTCCCTTGCTGTGAGGTAGTTTAGCACAGTGAAGCAAACCTTAGACTTAGAGTTGAACAGCATTGGCAGGTTCCAGATTTGTCTCTCACCAGCTGTAGGACATCCTCTGGATAGCTGAAAATTGAATTTATAACCCTTAGGCAACAATGCATCACGCATTACTGTAGAAAGGCCATTTTTATCTTCTTCCACTTCATAATATATGTCCTAATGTTAAATGTCCTCTTTGGTTAAATGGCCTACAGGTACCTCTCTGAATCCATCTTAAAGTCAAAAGTCTTAAGTAACCAAGTAGACCACTGTCTCCTTGAATTTGCTCCATTTGCTGCATTTACATATGCAAGAACACACATTCTCTTATTGCCCACTACCATGTTCTGCTTTCTATCCTATTTATGTACGTTTTAAGTGTTCTTCCAAATAAGATCATTAAAGCTAGGGACATCAAGTAGAAAAATATAACATTAAAATTTACAGATATTATAGATTCACTCAAACAGTACTTAATAAAGACAGATGGAAGAAAAGAAGGATCGCCAGGATTTATTCATGCAGAGTCAGCGAGACTGGAAAGGGAAAGTCATTCTAGATGAAAGAACGGCATAAAATGCCAAGGAGTCAGTAAATGCTCAAGTGTTCAGAGAGTAGCCCGAGACCAATTGACTGAAGATGAAGAGTTCATGCTGAGGAATATATCAGTTTGGACCACTTTGGCTGCAAGTAACAATAACCCTGCCAAGGCAGCTTAATAAAGGGAGAACGTATTTCTGCATTATAGGGACATCCTACACATTTCAAGTGAATGGTTGCAGCTGCCCGTAGAGACACTTGAAATCAGAGACTGAAGTAAAACAAGTCCTAGCCTTTATTTTCCATCTCTTGTCTTTGATTCTCACTTCTGTTTTTACTTTTTCCACCCACTGGAAAGCAGCTCTTTCCATTTTCCAGTTCACGTGAAAGAAAAGGGCTACAACCAACAGCTCAGTGGGCAGCCGCTCTACTTGTCAGGCCCAATTCCAGATTCCCATGCAGCAATTGCAGAGTTTGTCCTGCACCTGTCCCTGTCTGATTAGGTCAGTGTGGGAGGCTGTGGAGATGGGGCAGACCAAAGAAAAGGGGGAGAAACTAAGTCTCAAAATCAAGTTAATAGGTGTGAAATATAAAGAAGAGTTGGGAAGGAACCCCCCAAAAATACTCAACTGCTTTGCTTTCTCGCCCAATACCAAGTCAGCAAGTCAGGCCTAATCATTTATCTTTTCATGTCTTTTTGTTCCAATCCTTTCTTCTCTCTTTTTTTTTTTTTTGGCCACTATTCCAGTCCTGACTGTTCTTTATATGATTATAAAATAGGTGATGGAAACTTTTGCTTCCTGATGACCCCATCTACCCTCTTTGCCTTATACAGCTTGCCCTCATTACCCTCGATTCAGAAATGTCATATTGTACATATCACCAGCCTCAGATACTGTCAGTGACTCCTCAGGGACCAATAATAAAGTCTGGACCCTCCAGTGTCTTCCAGGGTGTAACCCTAGCTCTGTTTCCTCCTGGGTCTCCAGGGCTCCCACTCTTCCCAGACAAGGGGCTTGCTTCTTTGCTCTTGAGCACAGCACACTTATTCCCAGGATGTCTGGGAGCCTCTCTTTCCTCACTAGACTGTGTCTGTCCTACTCTACTTATCCAGGTCTCATCATTCACTCCCCCTTCACTGAAGTCAGGGGATTACTTCCTCTTTCAAACTTCCACAGCACCTTTTACCTGCACTGCAAGCCAACACTCCACTTTTTTCTTATTATTCTTTGTGTCTCTGGAGTTTTGCTAGCACAATGCCTTACAAAAACAGAGTAGACCTGGAGTAATAAATGCTTAAGGAGGATGAAGAAGTGAAAGTCCAGCATGAGTCTCCTGCCACTGCCATATGTTCCCCTTTGACAGCATCATGTAGAAGCTCTGGGACCTGGCTCAGGTGGTAAAGGAGTTCAATAAAGAAAACACAGCTCCTAAAGACATATGTCTTCAAGACATTAGAAAATATATAATACAAATGGTCTAACAAGTCCTTAGCCAACTAAATTATGATCCAATTCATCTCATATTCACATATTTAAGATAAAATAAAAATAGAGAAGTAGTAAAATTAATGGAAACGGAAGGAGCAGTTTCATTAAAAGGCCTATCTTCATTAGAATTATTTAGGGATTTAAAAGCAGTTGACCAAGGCTTTTCTAATTGTAGGAAAATTCCACTTATTTGATAGAAAGGTACTTTAATGTTTGATTATTAAAAAAAAAGAAACCATTAACTTTTTTTCTGATGCCAGGAAAGAACCCAGGGTCTTAAACATGCTAAGTAGATTGTATACCACTAAACCCAAAGAATTTGATATTATTTCCATAAAGATTTCTACTTTTAACAAAATTAGTGGTCCAATTATTAATACTTCTAGAGAAAGTGCAATCATTTTATAGGTGTTCATGAGATAGGAATTTGCTGCATTTATTATTAAAACCATTTGTTGTTGCACATTTATTTCTCTTCTGTTTTAGTAAAGTCATCACAACTAAGACATAAGTGGATGCCTGCAAAATGTAACATGATTTATACAAAATAATATGCTACAGAACACAAGAAGTAAATTTTCTAAAGAAAAGATCTTTCTGGGAAAAATTTCATCTCAAGTTCTATGTAGTGTTTGTTATTATGACATTTGTTATTATACTTCCATTTATTTCATTGCATAAGTATTCGATTTGTAATATGTTCCACCCACCTATTTTCCCTGCTAGGTTAAGGAAAAGATATAGCTAAGACATATTGGAGCTAAAAATGAGTGTTGTGGAATGAGTAAAGAAAATATCAGAGGTGTTTATAAAAGGCAGATCAATGCAGACAAGAGTAGAAGGGGAAAACTTCAAGGAAGAGATGAGACCTGAAGGGCAGCCTGACTGTGAGAACACCTAACAAGAAGCAAGTATATTGTTCTTCCAGTCAGATGTGATAGCAGGATTATCACATTACTCAGTTTTGTTACATAAAGTTCAGAAAACATTTATTGTTCATTCCTAGTGTACTGCAGGTGCTGAGGACAGAGAATGGAGTGAAAGACATTCAAAGATCACTAAGACTACAAGAGTTTGTAGTTGCACGGAAATTGTAATTTAATAGAAGAATTAAGAGTGGAAAGGTAGAGAAATTTTAGGAAGATATTTTTATATAGAAGAATTCTTCAGGTAGAAAGGGAACATCTATACTCTTGCCACTTTCAAAATCCACCTCTCTCACTATCTCAGGAACTAGCATATCTGGTATGAATGAGGGCCCGCATAAAGGAAGTTTTTCTTCATAAGAAAAAGAATATTCTGTGTTCTTTTTACTAGACAGGAAAAGACAGGGAGACAGTAGAAGAGCAGGAGGAGAAAGAGGGGTATAGGTAGAGAGATGTGAGGAACCAGAAAGAAGGTAAGTGGAGGAATCCATACAATTCTTCAGTGTGTGTGGATGGGCTCAGGGGCAGGATTAGGCAGTGGTGATGACTGTGGAGACTGATGGAGCTATGTCCATTTCTCATGGACACTTTACATAACTGGACACTAGGGAATTGGTGTTAGAGAAAATTAAAATCCATTCAGTTTCATACATGGACCAATGTGATCGAGCACTGAGATAATAACTGCATACCAAGTGTTCAGAAGGCCAAGGAAGCCATGACAAAATAAATTTCTATGAATGTATTGGTAAGTATGAAAAGGTTTTGCACTTCTACTTCTTTGCAATTAGTCCCAAGCCAATTATGAAGTTATCTAACTGCCACCTGGATTTTAAAGCATGGTGGTTAAGTATACAGGGTCTGGAATCAGACATCTATGGCTCAAATTCTGCCTCT